TCTTTTTTCTCCAGTGACTCCAGGGTGACTTGACAAATCCTCAACTTGACATCTTCCAGGGTCTCGCTACAGCCAGCCCAGTAGAACCAGCTTTGGCTTGATATCACAAGTCCTCTGATGTTTGGCCATAATCTTCCCTCCATTTTTACTTTTACTAATGTATGATTTGCTTCCCTTTTGCTTGGTTATGGAGTATGGAACCTTGTTGTTGTTCAGTTCCTAAGTTGTGTCCAAATCTTTTCAACCTGCAGCACGCCAGGCTTCCCTGTCCATCACCAGCTCCCAGAGCTTGCTTAAAACTCATGTCTATCAAGTTGGTGATGCCATCCAGCCATCTCATCCTCTGTTGTCTCCTTCTCCTCCTGCCTTCAATATTTCCCAGCATCAAGGTCTTTTCCAGTGAGTCAACTCTTCACATCAGGTGGTCAAAGTATTGGAGCTTCAGCTTCAGCATTAGTCCTTCCAATGAATATGCAGGATTGTTTTCCTTTAGGATTGACTGGTTTGATCTCTTTGCTGTCCAAGGAGCTCTCAAGAGTCTTCTCCAGCATCACAGTTGGAAAGCATCATTTCTTCAGTGCTCAGCTTCTTTATGGTCCAGCTCTCACATCTGTACATAACTGTTGGAAAAACCATAGCTTTGACTGCATGGAAACTAGGTACTAAGAAAGTATAGCACTAGATCTCTTGAGAGAATAGGTATTCGTGAAAAAGTAAGTCACTAATCAAGTTTGGAGTTGGTTTCCTTTTTCCCCTTCTTGGTGATGCAAAATGATTATTAGGATATTAAAACCTCTAAGTAGGTAAATAAACTCTTACCTAATGCAACATTCTCCTAATATTTGCCTATTGAATCTCTTCTTAAAATTCAGAAGAAGCTTTTAAGAGATATATTTTGCAGAACAGTTTGAGAAATATGTCTAATAGTGAAAGCCTTTTGGACAATCAAGCTAAAAACCAAGTTTCTAGGCTTGCCACTGGTATTCATTCACTCATCCCATTATTCATGTTACACACAGTACACTCTGAGGAAATCAAATGAATATATTAATAGCATTAAGTTTTTTCTGCAAGAGTTCACCGGAAAAATTTACAAACTAATATGGTAGAAGAAGTCATAGTGGTAGGGACAGAATAAAGAAATTCTGCTGGGGGACCTTTGAGAAAAAGAGATATTTGACCTAGGTCTTGAAAGAATAAGAGCTTATGGTTGGAGAAGGTAAAGAGACAATTTTCCTAAGAGGAACCAGTATATGGAAGAGAACAAAGGGACACTATGTATCTCGGAAACGGTGAGCAGAGAGCATGTGATGGCATGAGGTCAGTGCTGGAGAGAGTTTCTGGAGAGGATGAGTTCCAGCCTTCACTATCAAGAGGGCACCATGTGATGGTCCCCCCTTGAGATGTGCAGTGCGCAGCCTGCACGCCTGAACGTGACAGCCCTGGAGCAAATGTTAGAGAGTCCCACAAGGTCATATCCCAGAGGGAAGCTAAAGTCAAAACTTTAGCAAAAAGACAGTCACAGCCCAGTGAAGTAATACTGCTTTTTGTTTAACTTTAAATCTAGACAATATATGATTATTTTTTAACTTTAAAAGTTTAAACAAAATATAGTTAGAAACAAAAGCCCCACACTTCCCCTAGCCCCACCCTAACTGCAGTCTAACTCTCCTCACTCCACTCTCAGATGACACCTCTATCAATGGTTTAGCTATATCCCTCCAGACTTTACATACAAATATTGAATCCAGAGAGGTGGAGTGAGGTAGGGAAGGCTATGCTGAGGGTGAGTGGTGGACCAGGAAATGGCTGTGACCTTCAACCCCAAGCTCACCTCCCCAGCCTGGATGGCTTCTATGTCCCAGGAGTTTTGTGAGTGGGCACAGCCTCCATAGGCTCCAGGGCATGTCTGTGCTGATATTCCATGCTCCCTACCTGCTCACAGACCTAGCAAACAGAGATGAGGTCTGAGTTCTTGCACTAAGAGTCCCCAGGTCCTTCTGGAGACATTATTCTCTAGAAGACCCTGCTTACTCTATTGTATTTTCTTCATGCCTCTATCATCATTTGGGGTATTATTTATTTCTATTGATTATCTGTTATGTCTCCCTGCTCACCCAGAACAGGAAGTCCATGAGGGGAGGGGCTTGGTTTTGGTTGTGACAACATCAGAGTGCCTAGAACAGTGTCTTACATATTAAGGCAGCTGGATAAATGTTTGCTGAGTGACTGGATGCTCTGAATGACTCTCTTAGTCCAGTCTGGCTGCTATAAGAGAATACCACCGACTGGGAGGCTAAAAAACAATAGAAGTTTATTTCTCACAGTTCCAAAGTCTAGAAATTCGAGATCAAGACACCAGGAGATCTGGTGTCTGATGAGGGCCTGCTTCCTGGTTCATAGAAGGCTGTCTTCTCACTGTGTCCTCACTTGCAGGAAGGGGCAAGGGAAGTCTCCCAGATCCCTTTTTTCAGGGCACAATTCCCATTGATAAGTGCTTCACCCTCATGACCTAATCTCACAGGAGAGATCCCACCTCCTGATACACACTGGGAGTTAGGATTCAGCATCTGGATTTGGGGGGGAACACAAAGATTTAGAACACATCACTGATTGAGTAGGTTTGCAGCCTGTTTCCCCAGGGAGACAAAGTTGACAACCAGTCAACACCACAGCCCTGTTGGAGGTGTGACTCAGACTGAAATCAGGCTGGACATGAGGAGACAGAAGCTGAGGACACGGTCTCAGGAGTCTTGGTACCAGGGCACAAAGACCTCAGCCAAATAGCCCTAGGAATTTAACAATTGTTTTCATCATTCATGCTTTTTCAAACCTTCAAATGCTGAAGAGGGAAAAAAATAGGGAAATTGTTTATGATCTGTGGTCCTTTTTTTTTTAACCTTGAAGTTGAGTGAACAAAAACAATGGAACTCACCCTAGAGGAATGTTGAAAGTCATATTTGCTGTTGTACCCAAGTTCATCCGGCTGTTTAGAAGTGAAGGAGGAAATATACCATGGAGTGGTATTGACAAGTGTGGAGTTTACCGAGAGTTCGGACAAGTTCAGAGGATATTTGGCATGCATGGCTTGCCACCCTGTTCTTAGGACCAAGAAATAAGAACCACAAATATCTCATCACTTCAGTGAACCTTGGTCTCCTCAGCTATAAAATGGGGTGACAAAGACCCACCCTGCGGATGCAACCAGCTTGTGAGTCTGAAGTGCCCTGTAGACCATCAGATGCTGTACAAGTGCATTAGTATTTTCATTACAAAAGGACCGGAATTCTGCATGGTAAAGATGGCATCTACACATGGCAGGAACAATTTATTGAGATATCCATTTGGAATTTGTTCTTATTGTATTTCCCCCCCTCTCATTCTAGGTAAATAGCTAAGCCATTGAGTTATCTTTGTTTCAGGACTCTTTGAGCCATAGGATTGAAAGCAGGAGTTCTTAAAAATGAGTGATCTCTCCCTTCCTGTCCTGGCTTTAGAGAGGAATTGTGCTTACAGGAGGAGGCAGTGGGGGAGGCTGGGGAGCAGAGGGAAGGGAAGCAGCGGAGGGGAGGGGAGAATGGGCTGGAGAGGTTCTCTCAGTCCTGGGAGGGAAGCAGTTTGGCGTTCCAGGCCCTTATTCCCCTTTCTCTGAGGGCCCCAGGGTAGAGGCAGAGCCTCAGTGAGCCCAGCGACCCCCATCTTCTGCAGAGGCCATGGTTCAGGAGCAGGTGACCAGACAGCCTGTAGGGACCTTGGACTGTGAACACATCAAGTCCAAGGCTGTGACGCTGCTCCACCTCTATGGCCCCTAGGTGGGTGTCCTGCTGCCGCTTCCAGGACAAGCCCCATTCACTTATGGCCGAATGGGTAAATTCCTCCACCAGCCTAATGAATGAGACACTCCTAATCAGATGCCCCTGTTTATGGAATAAAACCCATTGTAGGCTCCATACCAACTCCATATAGAACACAATATCTAATAAATGCCCTTGGACAAAATGTTACATAAATAACAATACCTGAAAGAGACATATCCTGAAAGAACCAGTTGAAATCAGGAAATCACTGTCCTATTTTTGCCTCTGGCACTAATAAGCTCTGTCCTTAAGTAAGTCACTTTCTCCATCTGTGTCTCTATTTATTTATGGATTAAATGAAGGGAACTGGACTAAATTCCTTGTCCATGTTCGGAAAAGGCAATGGCACCCCACTCCCGTGTTCTTGCCTGGAAAATCCCATGGACAGAGGAGCCTGGTAGGCTGCAGTCCATGGGGTCGCGAAGAGTCGGACATGACTGAGCGACTTCACTTTCACTTTTCACTTTCATGCATTGGAGAAGGAAATAGCAACTCACTATAGTGTTCTTGCCTGGAGGATCCCAGGGATGGGGGACCCTGGTGGGCTGCCGTCTATGGGGTCGCACAGAGTCGGACACGACTGAAGTGACTTAGCAGCAGCAGCAGCCTTGTCCATGTTACTGCAAATTTAGAAGGGATTTGAGAAACATGAAATAGTCAAGAAACCATATTCTTAACTAAAGTTATAGTTTGATGCTTCTCCACTACTGTTAATTTCCACCTCAAAAAGAACTGACTTCAAAAGTAATTGAGAATTTCTGCAATTGCAGAAGACACTTTTATGTAAAAAAGTGACATTATGTCTGTTACCTGCTTAATCAAACCTTGTTCAGGCTCTTATGGTGTCTTTGCCAGGACTTTGGTCTTCATAGTAATATGTATTCGGGGTTTTCATTTTTAAAAAAGAGCCTTTGAAAAAAAACCAGTCCTTCCATAACCGGCTCATCTTTCACCAAGGCTGAAATAGTGTAAACATGACCACATGAGGCTCTGTGTTTATGTTTTCTCAATGATTTCCAGATCAAATTTGCTGTGTTTACAAGATGGAGACACTTTTTCTAACCGCCAGCATTGCAAACTCAAACGGGGGCTGGGCGGGGGGCAGGGGGGCTGATGCCCTCACTTGGCCCTCTCTGCTTTCAGTTATCCTGTGTCCCTGACAACGTGTCCATGGATGCCCCAGCAGAATTCGCCTAGTTTAGCAGCTGCCTGCAGACACCGGCTTTCATACTTAAACTGCATCAGGTTATTACTTACTAATACTAGTACTATTACTAATACTACTACTACTATTATTATTATTATGTTAAACTTTATGGTTCAGTCCAGAAGTAGGATCCTGACTATGGAAATATTCTTTTTTTTTTTTTCCCATGCTAGACCACTGCTTTACTTTTCCCTATACCTTCTTTGGTTCTTACTTCTTTGATACCTCCTTTGGTTCTTACTTCTTTGAGAGCTGGTGAATCTCATTTTGAAACTTCTCTTAATTCCCTTGAATTGTGAACGGTGTTAACCTGATGCTCTGAAATCCAATGAGGTTTGCCAGTCATCTGTTGAGGTACCCAGAGTGTTCTGTAAAACTTTAAGCACAAAGCCCTTGAAGGCTTTACTTTGAACAAATACCACATCCATTTAGAACAAACATTTCACCTAAATCCCCTTATATTATTTGTTTAACGCTTTTAAGACATGGTACCTGCACCATGGAGCTGGTGCCCCGACTAGCTGTCACAATGTACTAATTGGGTCTCTTGTCAGTGGACAGCAGGATGCACTGGTTCCTCTGTCACTGTCTGTTGCTTTTTCACCAAGGCCACAGCATGGAGCAGAGAGAGTGACCCTGCCTTCAGCAGTTTGATTCACAGCCAGAAGCTGATCCACTAGCAGCTTGACTTGAACAGAGTCTAACTCTCTGAAGCCCAATTTTCTCTTCTGTCCTCTTGACTCACAGAGATCAGTTGAGGTTCCATGAAGCATGCCAGGCACGAAAGAGTATTGTAACTAAAACACCATAGTTGTAAAGCATTCCATGACCGTCAGGCTCAAGGTCCTTGGGGCAGTGACTAGGGCTGAGGGGATGCTATCTGTTGCTATGTACCTAGGGATGTTTATAACAACAAACCTAAAAAATTAAAAAAAAATTAACATTCCTGAAATTCAGACATAGGTTTTCTTGGACTCCGCCATCACTATAGCAAACTCCCTCCCTTCCTGGGCTCCCAGCAGTCCCTCTGTCAGCTGGAGGGATGGCCTTTGTGGTGTCTAAGGAGCCTTCAGGTCCAAAGTGCTGCATCTCTGCTCCATGGTCCTCAGGTTGGTGTGTAGGAAGATGCAATTGGATTAAAGGCGAGAGAGGGAGACTCTCTAGTTACACCTCTATAGAAGATTTCTTTGGAAATAAATAAGCAAATGAAAATTTTATTACCAGGAAGCTCAGAACAATTCAGTTCTAGTGACCGTCTTATTAGAGGTTTTGATTTCACTCAAAATATGCATTCCTTGACCACCTTGCCAAGATCATGCACACACCATGCATAAGTGTGTGCATGGTACACACATTCTTATTTCTACTTCCTTTTTTCTCTTCTTCCTGTTTCTTCTCTCCCTCCCTCCTTTCCTCCCTTCTTCCCTCCCTTCATTCCTTCCTTCCTTGTTTGATTGCTAGTGCCTCATTATATGCCATTTTAAGTTTTTTGAAAATTGAATAAGTAAAAATATTCCATTTTTTAAAGTGGAAGAAAATGACTTATAAAGGAAGTAGACTGTTTGCCTTTGTATTTTCAGTACTGTAATCTTTTCCTGCAACTCACAGAGCAGAGAGCTCTGCTGGTCGTTAATCACACAACACCTTGACCTGGATCTGGGGGCTGCTGGCTCTGATGCTGGTTGCTGTGTGACCTTGGAACTGTTCCTTCTCCTCTCTGGACCACAGCTGCCTCATTCAGAAAATGAAAGATTTGGACAAGATAGTTTTTAAGGTACTTCCCAGATGTAAAGCTCTCCATATAGATGTCTCTCACTTTATAAAACCCAACATCTGAAACAATAAATAAAATCTATCCTTCTCAAATACCTTTTTACTTATGACACAGGCCAATAAAGGTAAAATGATTTGCATTATAAAAAAAGAATTTTAAAAAATAGCTGTTTCACTTTAGAAATAATGTGATTTATGTGTAGCATTTCAAATTCCCTTATACCTGTAATTGATAAAAATTTGTCTAGTTGGAACATTTCAGAGATGCTTCTTTATCCGTAGCAGCTGACCCTGCCACATCCATCAGACAAATTCCCAAGAAACACGCCTGTAATGTTCAGTTGAAATCTCTAATGGGTATGATCAAATCAGGCCTAATGTTCGCTTTGGTGAACAGTTACTTTGAAAGCCTGAGTTACTTTCTCATTATCATTTTATTTCTACCATTAGCCACATTTAAAAGTATAAATCATTACTAGCATCTTTCAGAGTGAAGGTTAACCCTCTCCCCTCAGAGCTGATTCTCTTTGAGAGTGAGGACATAGGGCATCTTGAAAAGAGGAGGGAGGGTACATGGTGTGACCTTGGCTAAGTCGCTTCTCTCTCTGAGCCTCCGTTTCCTCACATGTAAATGCCAGCTTGGTCTAGGTTACTCTGAAGGGCCCTTTGGCACAGATGTGGAAGGATGCTGTCATAATCTCAGCAGTTGCTGGACTGTTGTGTGTAAGAAATTTATCCCTTAAAGCATTTCTGATGGCTGTCCCCTTCAGTTTATGCTGGGGTTTGGTGGACCAACTCACAGCATCCTTTAAAAGAGGAAAATGGTTCCTCAGAAATCACCATAAGGGAGAGAAGTGTTGAGTCAGCAAAGGACTTTGTGAACCATGTCCTCTCTCACGCAGTCGCCTCCCAGTTTCAAGTGCCTCCTAGATGAATTGCCTTGGGACAGGGTTCTCCTGTTTGGTCCTCCAAGCATAGGGACAAATCTGTGAGTAGGCGACTCTCAAGATCCCCGGGAATAGCTGAAAAGACTCCTAAAGTAATACTTTAGGGAGGGGCTCTCTTTTTAAGAATGGAAGTCTTTTTAAAAAGTAAAGTCTGAGATAGAACCCAATATATAAAAGAAATAAAAGTGGTGTTTACCTGGTATAAACTTATTGGTGGTTGGTGGTCGCTAAGCTATGTCTGACTTTTTTGACCCCATGGACTGTAGCCCTCCAGGCTTTTCTGTCCATGGAATTTCCCAGGCAAGAATCCTGGAGTGGGTTGCCATTTCTTTCTCCAGGGGACCTTCCTGACCCAGGGATTGAACCTGTGTCTCCTGCTTGGCAGGCGGATTCTTTACCACTGAGCCACCTGGGAAGCCCATAAACTTATTATCTACGTTTAAATGGATGACATTAATTATCAACTCAACAAGAGGCTGTTTGTCTTGACTAACATAAAATCTTGAAATTGGAGAATAGTGGTGCCAGGTGCTGACTTATCAGCCTCTGCATCAGATAAATTTCCGTAATGTATTTTGTTACATCATTTCTGGACTGCAAATGGGAAATTTTTCTGAGGGTGGCATTGTGTCAAGGGACATGCCGCAAGTATGTTGAGAAGCAATTTTTATTCTAAGTTCAGCCCTAAATGAGTTATAGACTTCTGTTAATGGTCGCTGATGTGTTAATATAGTATAATTCCATGTATTAATAGAGTATAATTCTTGCTTTCATTAAAAATATTTCTAACTATACTATAAAAATATAGATTTGCCTATATGTAGTGCTTGTAGAATTTCTGAATCACTTATGTGGAATGTCTTTGGGCAACAGACATGGAGAATTCTGGAGGCTTAAGACAGCCCTGCAGGGGGTTATGGGTGAAATACGTTCTCTGTCACATAGAAGCAGGGGGAAAGGGCCCGCAGTGACCCACAAGGTGTTGATATGTAAAGCTATGCTTTAAAGCCAGATTCAAAGGACTCACTGGAACTCCGTTGCCTCCCTCTGGTTTTCTATTCCCTGGGTGGAGTCTTTTGTAATGCTCCCATCTCCCCTCAGCAGGCTCCAGACCTCACCTGGAAAGATGGTTGGGGCCGCAGGTCAGAGGAAGTCCAGCCCTTTCCTGAGACCATCATGGAGGTGGGAATGGTGGACTTCAGGTCACTCCAAGGAGAAGGCGAGTCTTAGATATGGAATGAGGTTCCTTGGAGCTGCCTGCCCCAGAACCCCATCCTGTTCCCTAGCCAGTCCTCTTCCAGTGCCAACTCTGGAGGTTCTGGGCTTTATTTTTTAATAATAAAGCCCACATTTCCTTAATATTCCAGCGTGCCGAGTTGTATATGAGGCGCTGTGGGGACAGGGAGATGAATAAGCTCAGGCCAGGCCCCCAGGGGCCCCCAGTCAACAGAAATGTGAGCTTCTGGGCTGGTTCACCTGAGAGAGAAGCTGGGTTCGTGGTGTTACTCAAATATTATTTTCAACATCGACTCAGCTTGTCTCAAAGATCTAATGGTACTAATTCATTTCCTAAGTCCCGGGAAGAGCTACTGAAATGTTCCCATTCTTCTGCCCCACCCCCGCTCCCACCTCTGCAGTGTGAGAAAGCAGCTTCAGGACGTCTGCTAATGATTGATGATGGCCCGGCTCTCTTTGTGTTCCTTGGCCTGTAGGTTTAGGTCCCGGATTGTTTCGCAATGGCCAGCAGCAGTCAGCGTGTGGTATCTCTGGAATCTTAGAGACATCAGATCACATGCTTATAACATCACACAACTGAAGCACTTAGCCTTTTTTAAAAAAAAGAGTTCTCCTATATTTGTTAGTCAAGGCTGAAGACTTTACTTCTTGGGGAGTGAGGAATAGCATCCCAAGGAAAGCAATTCTGCAGACGAAAAAAATAAGGAAAATCAGGAGTCCTGCCTCGCCTAAGCCTGCTTACCATTTCTCTCTTCTCAGCGGTCTCTGACAGTGCGGGGGGCTGGGAGGCACACTTGGCACAGATATCCACTTCACAGATCCACTGAAAATCCAACTTCTGCTAGGTGAGGGCATGGGACTTAGCAAGTGATTCTCTATCTCTGAGTCCACAAGGGGATAGTTAAATGTGTTCATGGCAGGGAAGATGAGAAGAGGTCTGTGAACAATTTTCAGTATTTCAAAGAGCTTGACAGGAATTCTGAATTTGCCTGGATACAGACTGTAGTCTCATGAAGATGCCCCCTTCCTTTGCTCCTGGCTGTGTCATTGCACCAAGGACTGCTTCATGCAAACTCGAGGCTCTGCTGGGCCAAATAGAATTGTGATGAATCACCTGGGCTTTGACGGCAGACAGGTCTGGGGTCACGCTGTGCTCATCCACTTCCTGGCCGGATGGCTTTGATGAAGCGCCTTGATCTCCCCGAACCTCGGTGTCCTCGCCTGTAAAATAAGGACGATAATCACATCCACCTCACAGAGCTGCTGGGGTTGGTCCAGAGTGAGCCATTGATTAAAGGCAGCTGTTATTGTTAACAGCTTTCATGAATGAAAAATGAGAAAAAGATTATGATGTAATAAAAGTAGAACATTGATAAGCAAAAATCTTTCCAAACTTGTAGCTCATTGGGGTTTGACAAAAGTTTAAAATCCTTTATACTACGCAACTGTGAGGTTTTTGACTGTCAGGGAGACAGTGGAATGGACGCATGTGCATGATTAAAATTTAATTGAGAGACTTTGATTTCATCCCATTGGGCTGACTATGCATAGCTTCTGGTGTCATAAAACAAGCCCAGGACCATAGTGCAGGCCATATGCCCCGTGGTGACCTCTTCCTAAGCCACCCCTGTGTCCTCTGGATGGAAAACTGTTGATTGAAAAGGGCAGAACAATACCCTCTGTCACGATGTCTGCAGATCACATTCAATCAGGACTGCATTCTGTTGATTCAAAAGAAACACACTCACACACACGTCCCAGCTGGTGACATCAGTGACCTGAGGGATTTGAGGACAGTTTACCTAGCAATGAAGGTTTCAATCACACTACCACCCAGTGGTGGGTAGAAGGAACTTAGATCAGTGAAGCCTGTTCTAGGATTTTCCTTAATTCTCATAATCTTATTGCTACTCATTGTTCTTAGCTGGTAAAGAATCCGCCTGCAATGCAGGAGACCTGGGTTCGACCCCTGGGTTGGGAAGATCCCCTGGAGAAGGAAAGGCAACCCACTCCAGTATTCTGACCTGGAGAATTCCATGGACTGTATAGTCCACGGGGTCACAAAGAGTCTGACACAACTGAGCGACTTTCACTCACTCACTCACTCCTTGTTCTTAGAGATCTTTCTTGACAATATGTGGAGACCTATGGTTTTTCTTCTTTTAAAAAAATACTCTGAACCTAAAAGTGCTCTAAGAACCAAGAACTAACTTTTCGAAAAGTCTGAATTCCCTGACAGTCTAGTGATTAGGACTTTGCACTTTCACTACGAGGGCCTGGGTTCAATTCCTAGTCAGGTAGCTAACATCCCACAAACCTGAAGCTTGGCATAGCCAAAAAAAAATTGTTTAAAGGGATTTCCCTGGTGGTCCAGCGTTTAAGACTCCATGCTTCCACTACAGGGGACACAGGTTCAATCCCTGGGCAGGAAGCTAAGATCCCACGGGCCTTGTGATGTAGCTAAAAAAAAAGTGTGTGTGTGTACTGTGTTGAAAACAATACCATGAAACATAAAATTTTGTTCCCAACTTTTCATGCTATTGTTCCATGACTGAAGGCTAGAGCTTTGTACTTAATAATATGATTTCCCTGTCTACTAAACCCACATGGAAATTTCTTCTTGAATGCCAACCCTCCTCCCCTCTCTTCCAACACACAGCCCTCCTACCCACTCACATTGCGGTGGATACTCTTTGGAAGAACTTTGAGGTTTTCTTTTTCATCACACAAGGATGTTGACATGCGTAACAAGGTCTTTCTTCCTACAGGTGAAGACTACAGCTTTCTGACAAATGGGATAGATTCATTTTCTTTTCCTAAGACACTTGAAATGTAATAGTTCTTTGAAGAGGGAGGGAGGAACCCATTTAGTTTTCGTCTTGACTGGAATGGAGATTAACAATTCAGAAATAGAGCTTGCTAATTAAAATTAACTACATTAC